CTGTGCGCGCTCACTGTTTGCCAGAACTCACTCTCAGTGCTGTTGGGGTTCACACAGGGAGCCGGTCACAGGGTGGGAGTGTGTGGGCGTGAGGTGCGTGCGGCGCTGGGGGGGACCTGTGGGCAAGGTGTCCCTAGTGGCTCCTGGGCAGGCTTCTTGATCAGAGTTCACAAGGGAGTGGGTGGTGTTGGGGTCCCTTTCCTGCCCCTGGGAGCCCTATCTGGGCTCGCCTAGCTCTTCCTGCCCTCTAGTACTAGTGGCTCATACTCTGGAAGGGGCGAGAGAGACATGGGTGTCTCTGGCAGCATCTCACACACTTGGGGGAGTCAGGTGTTCACTCACACGCTCTCGCTTTCCCCTGTGGGAGAAACCATGGGCTGAGCAGCTCTCTCTTTATGCTAAGTAGGGCCTCGGGGGAAGGATGACATGGGCAAGATCACAATGATCCTCTTACCCTCTCCAGTGCCTCAAACTCATATATATATATGTTTTTTGTTCTAATCATGTGCTGAAATTTGTCCACTGGAAACCTGGAGTCCCACAAAAGCCCTTTCCTTTGGTGTGTATGGGGGGGTGTTGTCTAGGATGGTGTTTTCCAGAGGCTCCCAGACCATGGCCAAGAGGAGGTGGAGCCACTTCATGGGCCACTGTAAGCTTCAGAGCTGGGACCAAAGCAGGGGTGTCTATTACTGGACACATGGGTGGGCCAGACTCTGCCTGGCTTCCTTGGTGTGTGGGGCTGGGTCCCACAATCCCCACAAGGGCGCCCTGTCCGGGGATGGACGCTAGGCTGTTGTCGGGGGGGGGGACATGGCAACGGGTATCGTTACTCAGCCACGATGCTGGCATCCCCACAAAGTTCTTTTTTTTTTTTTAAGGATTTTATTTATTTATTCATGAAAGACACACACACACACACACACACACAGAGAGAGAGAGAGAGAGAGAGAGAGAGAGAGAGGCAGAGACACAGGCAGAGGGACAAGCAGGCTCCATGCAGGGAGCCTGACGTGGGACTCAATTTGGGGTCTCCAGGATCACGTCCTGGACTGAAGGCGGCGCTAAACTGCTGTGCCACCGGGGCTGCCCCCCACAAAGCCCACAAAGTTTTTAAGGGCATTGTATGGAACAGAGCATCGCCTTCAGGGCACTGGACAGTTTAAAGTGAAAAAAGGCCTCTGGGTCCCCAATTTACTAAGGGCAGTAAGAGTGTCAGAGTTGTTAAAGGGCATATTTTTCTTTTTCTTAAGATAGTTTATTTATTTATTTATTTATTTATTTATTTATTTATTTATTTATGATAGACAGAGAGAGAGAGAGAGGGCAGAGACACCGACAGAGGGAGAAGCAGGCTCCATGCACCGGGAGCCCGACGTGGGATTCGATCCCGGGTCTCCAGGATCACACCCTGCGCTGAAGGTGGCGCTAAACCACTGGGCCACCGGGGCTGCCCCATTCTTCCCCTTTTCAAATGGAAGTATTCACTGGGTGATCCTTTCTCCTTTGACCACTGTATGCTGTGCAGGGGGCAGATAAATGATATTTTTAGTTTACCAGTCTGTGGATCAAGAGGAGCTACCTGAGGAGCCCCATTCAACCTAGTATATGGATCACGAAACCCTGCACTCTGAGTATGGTATGGGGATTGGGTGAGACTTTTGGGGATTTTGGGAGGAGGTGAGTGTTTTTTTGGTGGAGAAATGTGAATAATTGGGGCCAAAGGATGGACTGTAGTAGATTTGACCACAACATGGCCTCAATTCTCCACCCCTCCCTTTATCCAGGCCCTTTGTAATGTGCCTTTGATGCTCCTATCACCAAGAAGGGGTTTCTTTTCCCCCTTTTGGACCTTGTTGCCCTTTTGTCTTGTTTCGGCCAAGAGGGTGTCGGAAGCAACAGCACAGCCTTTCTATGCCTGAACCTCACAAGGACGGAGTTTTTTCTTGACTGTGCCTGCCATGTAGGTAAGGCCCAGTCTCCTCCTGGGGGATGACATGGAGTAGAGACAAGCTGTCCCAGGCCATCCTAGACCAGCCAGTTCTCTTCCAACCAGATGGCAAGCCATGGACACACGAGCAAAGACCCGACGATGCTAGAGGAACCATCCAGCTAAGACCCGCCCAAATGGCCAACCCCCAGAACTGAGCTAAGTAAATGATCACTGTTTTAGGCTACACAATTTGTTGCTCTGTTACTTGTTACGTATTTATTATGTATTATTGTGACAAGGGAAAAACATATACAATTACTAGTACAGTTACTAAAAGTTATTAACTACAGCTGCGATTAACACAGCTGACACCTTTGAGAAAATTGCCAAGGGAAATGCCCCAAAAGCCAATGGTTCCCATTTCTATCCAAGCTGTAAATGATGAATGTACCCTCATCATTCTGCAAATTTCAGAGGTAAAAACTTGCTTATAACTTTACTAGCTACATTAACAAACAAACAAAAAAACAGCCCAATTTTACAGAACTGAAATTTGAGTTGTGGGTTTCGGGCAATATGGTAAAGACATTAGATAGTAAAATACCAACACATCGGGACACCTGAGTGGCTCAGCAGTTAAGCGTCTGCCTTGGGCCCAGGGTGTGATTCTGGGGCCCTGGGATCAAGTCCCACATCAGGCTCCCTGCATGGAGCCTGCTTCTCCCTCTGCCTGTGTGTCTACTTCTCTCTCTCTCTCTGTGCCTCTCTAGAATAAATTAATAAAATCTTAAAAAAATAAAGTATCAACACATCATATTAATGCTGAAATAGTTTACATCTATACACAACGGGAATGGTGGTAAAGACCCCTTAAGCAACATGTCTGTGCACCTGCATTAACTTCTGATAGCACATACAAAATTAACTGATGTAGCATCAGAAGAGATACAAAAGGGAAAATTGTGAAAATTGAAATAAGCTTTAAACCATTTCAATTCAGACTTGATTAAAAGTTACAAAGAAGGGATGCCTGGGTGGCTCAGTGGTTGAGTGTCTGCCTTTAGCTCAGGGCGTGATCCCGGAGTAGTGGGATAAAGTCCCACACAGGGGTTCCTGCATGGAGCCTGCTTCTCTCTGCCTGTGTCTCTCATGAATAAATAAATAAATAAATCTTAAAAAAAAGTTACAAAGAAAAGGTTTGGGTTATCCTGGAATTTGCTGAGAAAAATATATTTAGGCAAATACATCTCATTGGCTCAAGTACTGTAAGGATTCAGAATGCGAGGCACATGGCTCGTCACCTCAAAAAGATCAAAATGACTAGGGTGTGTTCACGTGTGATGATCAAGCACAACTCTAAGTTTTCATGTATACGTGCTCTGCATCATGTGATATGATGCACGATTTCTCTTAAATCTTTATTGTTCAGTCTCGACAGCTTAAGAAAATTGTACTAATTTTTCAAGGTTGTAACTTGTAACACGAAGGGAGTCAAACTTCAAGATCAGTTCAAATAGGTATATTCTAGTCAATTTTAGGTTAGAAGGTGTGTCGTGGAACTTTCTATAAGATGTAAGTCACGAAAAAAAAAAAGGCGTTAAGTGACGACTGTAAAGAAACTGAATTTGCTCCCAAGCCTAGTGATGACTGGCCCCGGTCTAGGATCTCTGTGGTCTTAGTATAATTATCTTGCCCAGAATAGAAACCGTAAATTCACTCCCATGCTTGAAAAACATCCCAGACCATGAGCATGGACTTTGACTGTGACAGCTAGTGTAGTCGAGTAGAAATGATGTTTATAGCAGATTCATTTTCAGAAACACGGGGCAGTCTCCTGCTTTCACTGTGGTTACTGCCTAGCGGCAACCTTGCCCCCCAATACTCCCTTGCAATGTTTTTCCTCCTCTTCTCCTTCTCCCCAACCCTCTGTGTCCTTTGTACTGTGATACACAAACTCTCCCATCTTTTGCCTTCATGAAAATCCCTTTTACCTCACTGCCTTTTTTAAAAAATATTTTATTTATTTATTCATGAGAGACAGAGACACACAGGCAGAGGGAGAACAGGCTCCACCTGGGGAGCCCGATGTGGGACTGGATCCCAGGACCCCAGGATCACGACCCGAGCCAAAGGCAGATGCTCAACCACTGAGCCACCCAGGTGCCCTACCGCATTGTCTTTAAGGAAGTCTGGCTTTCTCCCACACATTCTGCTTTGCTGGCAGCAGCCTCCTTTGATTTGGGGTATAAATTCATCCTTGATTCATACAGGAGGTGGGTTTAGGGCCAGCATGTTCCCAGCTCCCTGTGCCTCCTGCCCATCATCACCCCTTGGCTCTTCTGTAACAGTAACCACTCCTTTAAGACGATTAGTTGTTCCATTCACCTACTCAGCAAATACTGAGCACCGACTTCCCCCTCCAGGTAATGCTGCAAGTTAGGAGAACTGTGACCTGCAAAATTAGGCATTTGTAGTCTGGAGAGACATTAAATAATCACGAATGCAAATAACGTCAAGGCGTGGAAGGCTCCCCTGATCAAGTGATGCCACTGAAGTGTTGGAATTCACCAGTTACAGTAAATAGATGGGGGTGTTGGGGAGACCCAAGAATGGCATGTGCTAAGGCCCTGGGGTGAGTGCACCGTGCCACCGAATGTAGGGCGAGCAGGCTGCAGGCTAGGTGGCGGCCAGACCACAGGCAGCTGGCGGGAGCAACACCGCGGTGAGAGCAATGGGAAGCCACCTGCTGGTTGGGAGCAGGGGGAGGCAACGGTCAGATCTGTGTTCTGGGAGCATCCCTCTGGCTTGGGGCGTCAAGGGCAATTGCGGCGGGCGAGGGAGGCCGCGCGGCTCCGTCCCAGCGCCCGAGCTCCGAGCCCACCGACCTGCTGCAGGAGGAGCCCCGCGGGGCTGCAGCGCACAGGGGCCCAGGAGCGGCCCCGCGCACGCGGAGGAGGGGCTCCCACGTGGGCGTGCCGGCCGCCTGGTGCGCGTGCGCGCGGCCAGCGCCTCCGCGGGGCGGGCCCGGTGACGTCACCGCGCGCGCCTGCGCCTGACGTCACCGCGCGGCGCCAGCAGGAAGAGGGGCTCGGCGGCGCACGTGGGGGGCGGCGCGGCGGTCGGGCGGGCGCATGGCGAGTTCCGCGGGGCTGGCGCTGTGCGGGCAGGCGCTGGTGGTGCGCGGCGGCAGCCGGTTCCTCGCCACCTCCACTGCGAGCAGGTGAGCGGGCGGCGGGCGCGCGGCGGGGCCTGGGGGGCCCGCTTCCCTCGCTCGGTCCGGGGGGGGGGGGAACCCGGCTCCTCCCCTCCCCCTCCCCGGCCGGGCCACGTGCTCGTCTTCTCCCGAGAACCCCTCCCCCCCGTGCCCCGACGCTGCGGGCCGCTTCGGGCGGGGCCCCGCGGGGCATCGGCCCTGCCCCCAGGGGAGCCCGGGCGCCCCCCCTGCCCGCCCCCCCCAACCCCGCTGGAGCTCCGGGTCCTCCCCGCGCAGCGCCCCCTGCACCCCGTGACGCTTTGCTCTCGCAGGTTCATGCTCCCCGCGGCCCGGCCCCCGAGGGCGGCCTCGGGCCCTTGCTCCCGTCTGGGGGTAGTTGCGGTTCGTGCTTGAAGCCGATGACACGCGTGTCAAGTGTAGACACTCGCTCTGCTCTTTGTTCAAGGCCGCGTTTCGGTTAACCCGGCGCACTGTTAACCGTTTGGTTTTCTCGAACGATAACACTCACCGACTTGTGGTTTGTTCCAGATTACTTATTTTTATTACTTTCAGTTATTATTATGATTTACTTATTTATGTACTTTTTGGTTCCAGATTATTTTGTTTTACAGGCTCGTGGTATCCTAACACATGCCCCTGGGAGTCATGGGATTATTACACTTGATACTGTGCTTGATATAGAACAACTGTAATAAACCCACCCCCCCTTTTTATTTTTTTTTTTTTAATTTTTTATTTATTTATGATAGTCACAGAGAGAGAGAGAGGCAGAGACACAGGCAGAGGGAGAAGCAGGCTCCATGCAGGGAGCCCCATGTGGGACTCCATCCCGGGTCACCAGGATCATACCCTGGGCCACAGGCGGCGCTAAACCACTGAGCCACCAGAGCTGCCACGTTTTATTTATTCATGAGAGACCCAGAGAGAAAGAGGCAGAGACACAGGCAGAGGGAGAAGCAGGCTCCATGCAGGGAGCCCGTCATCATGGGACTCGGTCTGGGATCACGCCCTGGGCCGAAGGCAGGCCCCAAACCGCTGCGCCACCCAGGGATCCCTAGATGTAGCTTTCAATAATTCAGTTGCGTATATTGAGACGTTTTTATTTTTTATTTTTTTTATTTTTTTATTTTTTAAATTATTTATTTATGATAGTCATAGAGAGAGAGAGGCAGAGACAAGGCAGAGACATAGGCAGAGGGAGAAGCAGGCTCCATGCACCGGGAGCCCGACGTGGGATTCGATCCCGGGTCTCCAGGATCGCGCCCTGGCCAAAGGCAGGCGCCAAACCACCGCGCCACCCAGGGATCCCCTATTGAGACGTTTTTAAATGGTGGCAGTTTCAAGTTTATTTTTTATTTTTTTTATTTTTAAGATTTTGTTTATTCATGAGAGATACTCAGAGACAGGCAGAGACACAGGCAGAGGGAGAAGCAGGCGCCATGCAGGGAGCCCGAGGTGGAACACTATCCTGGGACCCCAGGATCACGCCCTGAGTAGGAGGCAGACGCTCAACCACTGAGCCACCCAAGCATCCCGGTTTTAAGTTTAGGTGCAAGAATCTCGCCAAAAACCATTCGAATGTGATTTCTTCCAACATAACTCTCGCATCAATTTTCTAGGGCGTGAAAGAATAATGTATTACTTCCTATTAAGTGTTTGTCCTCATTTGTTTCACTTAACCAATAATTTTGAGTGCAGAACCATGCCATTGGTATATGGCAAATCTGAAAAAATTAAGCAAATAATTAAAGCTCCTTAGCCTTTCTCTGAAATACCGTATGCAATATTTTGTTGTGGATAAGACCCTTAATTTAAGGAATATGAAAGTATTTGTACTCCAAGAAAAAAAAAAACCTCACGTTTTTGTTAATAAAGTGCTCCCTTTAAAGTATTTCTGTTTTTCCTTAGTGATGATGACGTCCTCTTCACATATGATTGCAGCACAGCAGAAAAGAAGCCACAGGAGAATAAAGGGTGAGGTGATGGGGAGACTCTTCAGGCCTGATCGTGGTTGGACCAAAGGGGACAGGGTAGCCCAAGGAGTAAATTGTTGTCTTACTGAGTAAGCTGTCTTGCTCGTCAAAATCTTCATTTGTGTTTACACTGTTGTGTGGATGAACCGGGTACCACGTCAGGAAAGAAAAGTGGAACCAGCTTTAAATTTGGTGTTAAGAGCGTTAGAGTAGTTAGGGTTTTTCTAAATACTTTTACTTAGTTTCTGTCAGTAATTAACTCTGGGGGAATCTTGAAGTAATGCAATGCAATTTTAAATGCCCTGAAGTTAGCTTTAGTTAATTGGAATATAAGAAAAGAAGAGTGTGATTATTTGTCTGGTGCCTTTTTTTGGTAAAATTGGTCTTGTGGCGCCTTTTTTTTTTTTTTTTTTAAATGATTGAGTCCTTGACTCTAGTTTTTGATTTGTTTATGTCCCTGAGGGAGTGGGCCATGTGATCTCTGAGAGTCTTTCTGGCTTAGCTCTTTGTTTACTTATTTTAAATATTTTATTTATTCATGAGACAGAGAGAGAGGGGAGGACACAGGCAGAGGGAGAAGCAGGCTCCTCTCAGGGAGCCTGATGGGGGACTTGATCCTGGGACCCTGGGGTCACGCCCTGAGCCAAAGACAGATCCTCAACCGCTGAGCCACCCAGGAGTCCCTGGCTCAGCTCTTTGGATTTTAGTCTGTGTGCTGAGAGATTTTTCTGTTTCATTAGATTTATTCCTTAAAAATTACAGCTGTTTTGACTTTCCCCCTGTTTGGTTAATACGTGTTTATGTTCTGGGTACACGAACCTCCTGCTATTTTCTGTCTCTGCTCATATAAACGAGCAAGGCTAGCCTGGAGGAACGCAGCCCTGTTCACACAGGTAAGCCTTGATGATCCTTGTCTTCTCTTCTCAGGGAGGATGGGCAGCCCGTGGATAAGGGGAGTGACACGATTCTGGCGTCCACCTTCTCCAAGTCTGGCAGCTATTTTGCTTTAACTGATGACAGTAAGCGTCTGATTCTTTTCCGTACAAAACCATGGCAATGTCTGAGTGTCAGGTATGAAATGCTAACGTTGAATAATTTCGATGTTGAACGCACAGCTTACACTTGCATGCCTGCAACAATAGTGACGTAGTAAAAAGCAACTAACACGTAGTCTCAGCCTTGTGCCAGGCACTGTTGTCAGTGCCATGTGTGATAACTGATTTAATCCTCAAAACAACCCTGTGTCATGGGGGCGAGGGGGTTGTTCTCACCCACATCCCTGGCTGGAGTCTGGAAGCTGATCCCAGTCAGCTCAGGGCAGAGCTGGGTCCTGCACCTGGTCGCTCTGGCTCTAGAGTCGGTGCCCCTGGCCACCAAGCCATCATGTTTTCCAGTGTTCCCCCAGCCTTGTCGTGGCAGAAATGAAGAAAATCAGGCTTAGGAGAGGAGGCGGGTGATGTTGATACAGGCCCTGGGCAGGTATAAATTCCTCTTGCTTGGACAGGGTCCTGATATTAAGTTCTTTATTTCCTCAAGTGGGTGAGAGCCGGGATTATAAGGTCTTTGTGACAGGGATGGAAGCACCCACACGGGGCAGAGTCATCCTGTTGTCTCATTGTTGCCTCCCTGAGGCTGCACAGCATAGCTGTCCCTCAGGAGTAAGGGATAAACACATGCAGGTGATGATATATGTACTACCCAACAGGCGAGGAGGTTAAGGAATTTCACTTTGTAGCTGGTTCACATCTGTGTTGGGGACAGCTGTGCTTTTTGGATTCCTTTTGCATCTTATTTTCTACAAGAAGAGTAAAAACGCAAACTGCAGGTGGCAATCTATGTTGGTATGTGTCCCCTGTTCAGGGGGGTGCATTGTCCTGACCTTGGGACAGGGGTCACCCACACAACCTGTCAACGCGTCCCTGTCCTGTGGTGGCACCTGCCCATTGACTGCAGGGCGAGTGCCCAGGGCTCCTGGTGGGGCTCTGGCTATTGTCCAAGAGCTCCTGGCATCGTGCAGGGTCTGGAAGAAGGCATCTAGAGTTCTCTCGACTGTCCTCAGTTTCCTTTTTTTTTTTTTTTTTTTAAGATTTTATTTATTCATTCATGAGAAACAGAGACAGGCAGAGACACAGGCAGAGGGAGGAGCAGGCTTCATGCAGGGAACCCAACGTGGGACTGGATCCTGGGTCTCCAGGATTATGCCCTAGGCTGAAGGCGGCGCTAAACTGCTGAGCCACCAGGGCTGCCCAGTGTCTTCGGGTTCCTGAGGCTGTCAGGATATCAGGGGATGCAGGGCAAGGTCTGGAGTGGAAGGCCCGGGTAAGTGTGCAGGCACAGAGTCGTGTGTCTCTATGCCTGGTTCCCTCTGCATTGTCCAGGGACGTTTGAGGAGAAGGTGCTGTGTCTTTGTTTTGTCTTTTAAAGGTAGTGTGTTGGCGATTGTCTTCATGGAAAGATCTAGAAGTTGTCAGGATGGGAAGTTACGCATTAGCAGATAGTGGTTGGCACTTGACTTTTTTCTCCTTTGTTTTTTTTGGCCTTTTGGCCTTTTTTTTTTAAGATTTTAAAAAATTTATTTATGAGAGACACACATGGCAGGGGGTAGGGTGGCAGAGATACATGCAGGGAGCCCTACATGAGACTCAATCCTGGGACTCCAGGAGAGAGAGAGAGAGGCAGAGACATAGGCAGAGGGAGCAGATTCCATGCAGGGAGCCTGACATGGCACTCGATCCTGTGGCTCCAAGATCACACCCCGAGCCGAAGGCAGATGCTCAACTGCTGAGCCACCCAGGGATCCCAGCCTTGGTTTTTACATCGATGCCAGCAGAGTAGTTTTGTGTCGGGAAGCTCTGTGTGAGGTGTGCTGCTCGTGTTGCTTGGGGGAGGTACATGGTGCGTGCAGACAGTGCTTACAGGACCCCGTATAACTCCCATCCCATCTGCGGCAGCCACTTGAGCCAAGGGGTCAGGCCAGAAAATGTCGTGGGTCTAGAGCTTGCATTTCTCATTGCCTAGTCCTGTGGATTTACGCTGATCTCAAAGTAAGATGTGCTGCTGCCTGGTCCCTCAGCCATTACACCTGGGGGGGGGGGGCACGAATAGATGGACTCTTTCCTCAGAGAAACACCCATTCTTGACGCATCTGATCTTTAGTCCAGTGTTTAGGGTGTCCTGGGCTCACCTTACCCACATTGGAGCAAGAGTTGCTCACAGCTCGGAGCTCTCCATTGGCTTTAAAACTTAATCCTGGAGGTTTTTAAGGAAAAGCCCAAATGGGAGTAGTGTATAGCAGTGATTCGTTTCAAGGTGTCTGTTTACAACGCAGAGGCTCAGAACCAAGGCCAGGTTTTCTAAACCAAAAGTCGGGTGCTTGGGGTTGTTGTGTGTTGTGTACGTTTATTAGTGAGAAATCTTACGTAGGAAATCTCGCCGTTTCTGAAACTGCCTGTGTTGAAATAATAAAAGTGTGGAAAGGCAGAGAGCCCCAGGGGATGGGATTGTCCTGCCCGAAGTGGCCTGGCTGCTGGAGGTGGCGGTGTCAGGGAGCTTGGTATCCTCGGTGCCCTGTGGCCACTAGGTTCCCACACGCTCGGTTTTGTTGAATGAGTGTGGTGCTCTGGAGGTGGCCTTGGATGGGCACCAGGCCTGTGGAGTGATTTCAGGGCTCAGCTACCTGACCGGGGCGGTGCTCCACTTGGTGGCAGAGGGGAGAGGCTCAGGCTGGCCCCGGGGGTGGGTGAGGACGGGACGCTGGGCTGTGAACCCTGTGACTGGAGGGAGGCGGCAGGGCGGAGCCCTCGAAGCCCAGTGAGGCCCCTGCCTTCCGACTGGGGCAGAGAGGCCAGCCCACCCCCGTCCGGGTCTGTGACCTGCCCCCTCAGACCCTCACCCCTACGTGCCCTGTACAGCAAAGCTGCATCCTGGAATCCTTGCCAGGACTGACCAGCCTCAGAAGATAAAGCCCCGGCAGAAAACAAAGGGACGAGATTCTGGAGCCATTGGTGTGCTGCGCTGGTGGGGGACAGTGGTGGGGTGCTCGCGTGAGTCCACGCCCCATCCTCCAGGGGGTCCAGCCCCCGCTGTGGACCAGTGCCTGCGCAGCAGCTGCATCAGTGCCCGTCAGAACGCGCGGCGGCGCTTCAGTGACCGTGTGGTCGGAGAGTTGGTTAGTCTTGCCCGGAGCCTGTTTGTCTTTCTTCTGTTGTTTTCTCCGTGTTTATTTCTCTCTCTCTCTCTCTCTTTTTTTTTAAAGATTTAATTTATTTATTCATGAGAATACACAGGAGAGAGAGGAGAGAGGCAGAGACACAGGCAGAGGGAGAAGCAGGTGCCATGCAGGGGGCCTGATACGGGACTTGATCCCAGGACCCCAGGATCACACCCTGGGGTGAAGGCAGGCGCTAAACTGCTGAGCCACCTGGGAGTCCCCCTGCATTTATCTCTTGCTTGTCCTTCTGTGGCTCCACTGGCTCCAGGAAGTTTGGGAGAAGGTGCAGCTGCCACAGGCCGGAGCCTTGGGACAGCTACAGGCCCTCTTGCCTGCATTTTCCGGCCTCTTGTTCCTCTGCTCCCGAGAACATGGGAGGGTCCCACATTGTCTGGTTCTCATGTTGGAGATGTGGCTTTCTTGAGCTTCAGTTTCTGTTTCGAGTGACATCTGGGGTCCAGCTGTGGGGAGCTGGGTGCCCTGTGCACAGACACTGGCTCTTGTTGGAAAGTGAGTCCACTTTCACCCCCTCTGGTGACAAAGGAGGGCAGGGACCCCAGCTCTTTTGAGGGGAACCGTGGTAACGGTAGGTTACGTGGATGTTTGTGCATGAAGCAGTAGGATAAGTACAGGTGTGTGGGATCCCTGGGTTGCCTTGTGGAAAGCAGGCTCTGCTGTAGGGATGCCTGTAGAAGGAAGGTGACCCGGGAGAGCGAGAGGAAGCTGCGTGAACCCTGCTCCCCACCAGCAGGCGAGACCCAGAAGGGAAGGTGTGTGTGTGGTGTGAGCTGTCTCTTTGTTGCTTAGGCTGGCACAGGATGCAACCAACGCACAGATGTGGCACATCTTGTGAACCTGGACCAAGGGCTTGAATTGATGAGTGTGTTAACTTTAACACAGCCTGAGCTGGAGCCCTGACCTCCCCAGCAGTGCACGTGCTGAGGCAGCGCGCCCTCCTCTGGAATTGCCCTGGGGGTGGGGGGAGGGACGGCAAATGCTGTGTGTGCTGACGGTCTGTCGCCCCATTCAGGGGTGTTGTGTGTGGGCAGCACGGGTGGGATTCCCGCGCAGCAGGGTCCTCCAGGGCTGGGGTATGGACTCAGTGGTCCTGGACCTGGGGCTCCAAGGCTAGGAGGGCCCTCCATGGTGTGTGTGCTTGCGGTTCCGAGCCGAACATGTTGCTGTTGATGAAGCTGACCATTTTCTTCCTCAAAGTGCACAGTAGAGGTGCTGGGGTCAATCAAGGAGCGACTCTCCCAATATTTTATTACGACAATTTTCAAATACACGGCAAATTTGGGTAGATTTCACATTGGATACCTAGATTTTGCTGTCATAAAAGCAAAAATATTCCAAAGTAGAATTTGGCTAAGGTATTGGCTTTGTCTCTGTTCTCTTAACTGCTTGAGTTTTCTGGCACTGCTTTTGGTAACTGGCAGGGAGATCCGGGGTGAGGGGCTGACGTAACGGCAGCAGAACTTCCGGCCTGCAGGTCTGTCGGCCGATCTTGTGCTGACCCGTGCAAGCCAACTGTGGGCGTCTCTTGCCTTCCAGGACCGTGGTGAGGAGGTGCACGGCCCTGACCTTCACGGCCTCGGAGGAGAAGCTTTTGGTGGCCGATAAGTCTGGGGACGTTTATTCCTTTCCTGTGTTGGAGCCACAGAGATGTGGTCAGCTTGAGCTTGGGCACCTGTCAATGTTGTTGGACGTGGTATGTGGGTAATGGGCCTAATTAACTCTGCTGCAGTCAGGTGGGGCAGGGGCAGTCACCGGGGGAGGTGAGGCCAGGTCTGTGAGCCCAGCTGTTGGGGTTAGGGTTCTGTAACAGGGACAGCTCTGTGGCTCTGTGAGTGGGAGTTCGTGGGAGTTTGTGGGGGTTCGCGGGAATGGAATTGAAGGTGAAGCTGACAGGGTGAATGCCTGCAGGCCACTTCGGAGGTGCCTGGGTGGTTCCAGGTGTGAGGCACAGCCTGGTTTGGGTGATGAAGTGGAGGAGGGATGTGGAAGGGCAGGTGCCATCTCAAAGCCTGAGCTCGTCCTCCTGTTTTCTGGGCCTCACCTCTGTCCTTCCAACCCCTGAGCCCGGAGCTTCCCCACCGCAGAGGCCCAGTGAGGGCTGGGGGCAGTCAAGAGGTGGTGGAGCTGGGGTGGGACCTGACAGGAGAGGCCAGAACAATGAGGGAGGGGTTCTTGAAGGAAAGACCATCAGGACGTGGTGATTGCCTGGCCATGGGGACACTTGGAGGAGGAAGGAAGAGAGGAAGGCCAAGGGATGGTGTGCCAGGTGGCAGGAGGGACTTGCATTGAGACAGGCATCTGGATGCTGCTGCGGTGTCCTGCGTGAGGACACCTGGTGTAGAGCAGGGGACAAGTCCTGGGGGGGTGCTGGAGGTGAGGGGCAGCTCTGGCCACTCTCACCAGCAGGTTTGTCCCTGCTAATCCCCTGTGTGCAGGCTGTGAGTCCCGATGACCGCTACGTCCTCACTGCCGACCGGGATGAGAAGATCCGGGTCAGCTGGGTCGTGGCACCGCACAGCATCGAGTCCTTCTGCCTCGGGCACACAGAGTGAGTCCCCTTCCTGCCCCACTGGAGGAAGTGCAGGCTGAAGCACAGGTGGGCCGCCCGTGCCTGGGCGAGGACCTTGTGGGAGAGGACCTGCCCTTCGTGAGTTAATTCTGAGGTTGCTCCTATTTCTTGGTTTTGAATGGAATGTAAATTGACTTCTGTGAAGGTCACTAGTGGCCTTGTTAGTAGCTCCTGACAGCTCACGTGGGCTTTGATTCAGGTCTCTAGCAGGCCGTCTCTTACTGGGGTCTGCTGCTCCTCACTGTGCTCCCACCCAGCACACAGCACTTTGCCTCAGGGCCTTTGCATGTGCTGTCACTTATCTTCTCAGCAGGGTCTCCCTTCCGCTCTTCCTGCGCTGCTGGGCTTTTCTCTTAGTCTGCACTGTCTAGACAGGAGCCCCGAGCCCTGGAGTCTGGAGTGAGATGTGCTATGAATGTACAAGACCCAATTTAAGAGATTTCATAGGAAAAAAGAACATAGAAACAGCTTGTTACTAGTGTTTAGTTAAGGTGTGTGTTGAAACGGTAGTATTTTGGATGAATTGGGTTAAGGAAGAGTAGTAGCGTCAGTTATTTTCACCTGTGTCTGTTTCTTAACGTGGTCACGTGTGAACGTAAATGGCGTGGCCGGCGCCGTGTTTATGTTGGGGGCGCTCTCCCGAGGCCTCCGCGGGCCCGACTCCTGCCAGCGCCCTGCACGGAGGGCCTTGCGGGCTGCGCTCCTGGCTGGCTCCCGCCCTCAGCACCCTGGCCGGCAGGTTGAAGGCGCTCAGTAGGTATTTCAGCTTGTGAACAAAGAGTACAGATAGGCGCTTAAGGATCTCCTGGAGGATCTGTGGAAACTGGTTTCCGCCCTTTCCGCCCCTTGAGCCACTGAGGTGGCTTAAGCCCTCTGTGATGTTCTCCAGGGGAGAGGCGATCGTGGGCGTCCCGCGAGCCGTGGGCTAGTGATGGCGTCCTTGCTGGGTGAGACGCGGGGAACGCTGTCCCATTGCCACGCTAGAGGCTGGCTCACAGCCGGCAGAGCCCAGGTGGGGGCTGCCCAGCCAGCGGTAGAGGACAGTGGGTCTGATTCTATCTGCTGGTCTGTGTTGCTGCCCCCACCCCCTGGCTCTGTCCTGCGGTTCCCCCTCCTGCCCCCAGGCTCCCTGTGGTCACCAACCTGCAGGAAAACCCGCAGGAAGACCTGCAGGGAAGGTCTTGGGCTGAGAGCAGGGCAGCCGGAGTGAGCAGTACAGATGCTCGTGGTGTCCCCACAGCATGGCTGGGGCCCGCTCCTGCTTGGGGTCTGTCGTGGTGGGGCTCCTGAGAACGATGTGGCATGCTCCTCCAGCTTGTCAGTGCTGTCCAGCTACACGGGGAACCCATTGCAGTTTTTGTGGGGGGCCCGGGGCGGGTTGAGGAGGCTTCCTTCTCAGATGACAGATGGGCGAGCAGACGTCACAGCAGCGCACGGGGACTCGGCTCACCATCAGCTCTGTCTGCACTGTAGGTTTGTGAGCCGCATCTTCGTGGTGCCCGACCACCCCGAGCTGCTGCTGTCCTCCTCCGGGGTAAGTGCTTTCAGCAAGTGGGGCTGCCGGGGTCGGGGAGGAGGATTGGGGGGGCAAGGATGGACACGCAGCCTTTGTTGGCAGAGTGGGTCTTTCGCCTGGTGGCTGTCCACTAGATGGTGCTCGTCTTCTGAATTTTGGAGCTGACTGTGGCTGGCTCTCCACTGAGGGGTGTTATGTGTGTGTGGGGGGCACCACGGGAGCAGGGTGTGAGGACGGTGTTCTCAGGGCTGTCGTCACATCATGACGTCACCCCCATTACAGCAGTTGGTGGGAAGACCTTTCTGGGTCCGGAGGTCCTGGGTTCCATCCACTTACCACTGTGCTGGCTCTTGACCCTGCCCCTCAGGTGGGGCCCAGCCTTGGTGGGGGCTTTGACCTGTAATGAAAGCTTCTACGTCCTGGCAGTTGGGGCTTGAAGCCTTGATGGTTTAGTGATCAGAGACTTAGCTCTAAGGAATAATCTGTGAAGGCATCATTGAGCAGTAGTCTCTGCCAAAGTGAAGGTTTTGAATTATTAGTGGTGTCTCCTTTTCTTTCTGGAAGCCCTGTCCTTGTCCTGTCTTTCTTGCCCCTTAGTGTTTTATGGGACTCAGATGCCTGGGGTGGTGGGGGCTGCATGGAAGGGCCCTGGACCTTCAAAGAATTAGGGTTTCTGGGTGGGAACAGTGGCCTCCATGGCATCCTGCTGACATCTGGCCGCTGTGTGTGCATGTGTGCTTCTTTCCTTCACCAAGTCCGTGTTCTCACGGTTTCTGCTGTCCCGTCCTGTACTTCCCAGCAGTGTGTGGTCCTGTGGTAGCAAACAGGAAAACAGATGTGGCCAGAGTCCTCAGGGGCGGCCAGTTTTTGTGAATTTTGCCATACCTATGCCTTTTATTTTTTTTTTCTTTTCTTTTTTTTTTTTTTTTTACTTTTTTTCATAATGAAAGAAAATAGGTGCCCAGAAAAATGAAATAAATACCTTTGATTTTAGCACTAGCCTGGCAAGTTCCAGCATTTTGCTTGTGATCCTGTTTGGAGATGTAGGAGGGCTGGCCCTCTGGCTGCCAGAGTGCACTGTCCTCTGTCCCCCACACCTTGCAAAAGGGACTTTTCATTTTCACTAGAAGCATATACTTGTGAAATTCTGCTGTGCCGCCTGCAGTAGAAATTGGCCGTGGCTCCCACCGGCTCTGCCAAGGTGCGCCCTTGGGACCCACGTAGCCAGAGAACGTGAGCAATCGAGAAACGAGAACATACATTTTCCCTGTGCCCTCCTGGTGATATGCCCTTGCCCTTTGTCCCCTTGTTTACTGGTGGGCTGCACCCCGCCCCTTTCCTTTTCATTCTCTTGCTCTCGCTCTCCTCTGTTTGGGAGCAGCACATCTGAAGGTGGAGGGGGGGTGTTGTCATAAAGCTACTTTCCTGGAAGTGCCCTTAATCCCCCAACTCCTGGTTGGAGGGGGGGCACCTGGTGGAGGGATGCCTGGCAGGGTGGTGCCCGGTGGAGGAAAGCCTGGTGGGTGGCAGGTATAGAGCTTGAGGTGAAAGCTCCCCCAGGGATTTGGAAGGCACGGGGCCCGTGTTTTCTCTGGTTGATCCCCAGTGTGCCTGGCTTTCGTGAGACGCCTGAGGCCATTGTGAGTTTGGGTCCTTTCAGTGGGATCTGTTTCCGCTTCTCTAGATGCCCCAGGGGCCTTTCTTGCCAGCTGTGCTCTGAAGTTAGGGGAGGTGGGGGCCGGGCTTGGGAAACCAGCTGCCCGGTCAGGGTGGCCCCTGCGGTGGAGATCTTGGGCCCGGCAGTGTCCTCACTGGGGCGCTTCCCCTCGAGTCTGTGGTGCGGGATGTTGGGCTCCGTTTCCTGCTGCTGCTTTCCCTTGGTCTCTCTCTCATGCTCCTGGTTCAGCTTTTTGAGACTCCTCCTCAACTTTAGTTCGAGTGTCCTGTGGGTATTTCACTTCCGCTGTTCCTGGTAATTGTCCGGAGCTTTTTCTCATACTGAGTGTCCTTTTGTTAGGCGCCCCATTCGTCGGTCCTGAGCGCACGTCTTTGGTCTCACCCAGCCCAGCCCACGCATGTGTTGCCTTCACCCTCTGTGGTGTCCATGTCCCACAGATGTCTTCTGGTCTCATCTATCCATTTGTGATGGGGACGGGGCCACGGCCAGCCTGGTGGAGGCTGCGTCTGGGAGCCCAGGGTGTCGGAGTCAGGCACCTGCAGGCCATCTGGGTCAGCCCTCATCTGGTGATCCCTTTGCCCAGTCTTCACCGTTCTGAGCGTCAGGCCTGTCCCCGTGCTCCAGGAGGTGACCGGGGAGGGCTGCTGGTGCTCTTCAGCTTGTATCTGGAGTCCCTGAGTCGGTGGCCTCTGGCTTCCTGGCTTCAGAGGGTGAACCTGCCACTCTGACAGCACCCCCTCCCATCACCATGCTGCTGCTGGGTTGCAGCCTCCTGCACCAGGCCCTCCACTCTTCTGCTCCAAGGGGGCCTCACCATTGTCTTCTTTTGTTGCATTTCTGTCCCCCAGGCTTCACGCCTCAGAAACATCCCTTTCCTGTTGCTGTGGGGGACCTAGGAGTGGGTGACCATTAGCCCCTGAGTTTGTGTGCTGTTTCCATGGCAGGTATTCGTGCTCCTGCCCAGCACCCACACACTGCTGCTCTTGGCTCCTAAGGGCCTTGCTCTTCTTCCCTTCCTCCCAGTCATTTAGAAACTCCCCCATGTGCTGTGTCTGTGCCATCTCAGCGGGCAGCTTGGAATCTGGGCCTCGGGTGCCCTCTTGTCAGGATGGCCTCTGTGCACACCGGGGGAGGGGTCCCCAAGGTGCCATCCAAACAAATGAACCAGCAAGGCTTCATTTCACTGCCCTTGTGTCTGAATGTTCTCAGATGTGCAGTTCTTTCTACATCCTGTCCTTTCAGCGAGGTCATCGACAAGCATTTGTTAATATGAGCCTTTTTCTGTCGTATTTACATATTTTTTGGAGCACTGAGGCTTTTTTTTTTTTTAAGATTTTACTTTATTATTTATTCATGAGAGACACAGAGAGGCAGAGACACAGGCAGAGGGAGAAGCAGGCTCCACGCAGGGAGCCCGATGTGGGACTCGATCCTGGGTCTCCAGGATCACGCCCCGGGCTGAAGGTGGTGCTAAACCACTGAGCCACCCGGAGATCCCTTACTGAGGGGATGCCAGTTAATACACATGCCAGTTTCCCTGCAGGCTGTACCAGTTGACAGTCTTGGGGGTGACACATGGACTCCCCCTTTTCTTTTTTAAGAATTTTATTTATTTATCCACGAGAGAGAGAGAGAGAGGGAGGCAGAGATACAGGCAGAGGGAGAAGCAGGCTCCATGCAGGGAGCCCGATGTGGGACTCGATCCTGGGTCTCCAGGGATCCGCCCTGGGCTGAAGGCGGTGCTAGACCGCTGAGCCACCCAGGCTGCTCGGACTCTCCCTTTTCACTAAATAGGGATGTGGGACAGTTGTTGTGCTCATCGGCCCCACCCTCATCGCTCCTGTGCAAATGTGTGACTGTTGCGTCTGTGCGTGTGCACATGTGTCTGCGAGTGTGCTCCCGGCTCCAGTACGGCAGCCATGACCTTTGACGTCCTGTATGTGACCGGCAGGTTGTCTTGTGTCATGTGTTAACCTAACGATTGGCATGGCCGCACTGTCATTGCTCAGAGCAGGGAGCCTCTGTGTGCTGCATGTCACTGGGTTAAGGTTCCGCCGCGGGGTGGCAGCCCTGGCGTGCCAGGGGTGGCCTGCTCTGTGTGCACACACTGACTGGTCCGTGGTGTGTGTAGGACTGCACGCTGAGGCTCTGGGAGTACCGCGGGGGCCAAGAGCTGCACTGCTGCCACCTGACCAGCCTGCGGGAGCCAGCGGAGCCGTGCGGTGACAAGGTAACGTCACACTGTGTCTCGGGTCTGTGGGGACTTCTGGGTGCCGCTCTAGTCACTGGGATCCTGGGAACAAGACCGCTGTTGTGTTGGAAACGTTTCCTTGCCGTCTACATAGACTCCTTCCACCTTGGGAGAGAGCGTGTATTTCAAATTCTCAAGGCACCTGGTCCTGTAAGTGGGAAGTAACTTAAATCTCACCTTACTTGTGTCTGAACACCCACTTTATAGAAATGCCTCCTCCAGTCCTGCTTGGAAATGGAAAAGAGCAGAAGGCTTCACTGGGGGTTATCAGCCAGTCAGGGAGCCGAGCACCCTTCCCGAGTCTCCCTTTGTCACAGGTTAATCACATGACCGCCCCCTTACCCTGGGAGGGCACACTGGTCAGTGTATCCCCAGGTCAGGTCTCCTGCTCCCTGGTTGTCACAGAGATTTTCAGGGAGTATGTGTGGGCTGCCTTTTGGGGTGCTCCATGGTGCTCCTGGGCCGGTGCTCTGCACAGCTGAGGTCCAGGTTGGTCACCTGAGAATGGCCCCACCAGTTTCCCCGAGGCCCTCCTGGGCTGGGCAGGGAGGGAGCCGTGCTTACGCAGGCCTGCAGAGCTGGCCCTGGGGGTGCTCTCTGCTGAGCCGGGTCCCGGCTGTCCTCAGGGCAGCTTTGCCCTTTCCCCTGGAGCTCCTGTGTGGCACCCTGCCTGCCCGAAGGAGACCTAGGCCAGAGTGGGAGGGCTCGTCTGACTCATCCTCGGGTTGGCTGCTTTCTCTTGTCGCCTTGGAGACTGCTCTGTAACTGCCGCCCTTAACTGGCCTCAGAAGTGGGCAGACTGGGCTTCCACTTGTGACCGGCGCCTGGATGTTCCCTCTCCAGGACGTGTGGACCTTGCACACATAACTGTGTCTCGTTAATAATCCATTGTGTTCTCTGTCCCCTCCTGTCCTTTTTTTTTTTTTTTGTCCCCTCCTGTCCTTATTCTTGACCAGTTCCTTTGGCTCTGGAGACACTGAGGGAAGGCCACAGTCACAGAGAGGCTTTTGCTGTCGGCTGTGGCACTTTGGGATTGTGAAACTGGTAGTCTGCTGGGTCTTCCTCTTCTCTCCCTGATTTCCAGAAAGTTCCAGGACTGTTTTTTCCTTTCCTTCCTCGGCCATAGTGGCAGCTGTCAGAGTCTCGCTGTGTCTAAACTCCACTTGAACAGGACAGTCCAGAGTGGGGAGCCTGACAGGCTAACGTGCTGTTAAGTTGCTGCTTTTCTTTGCAGAGGTTTGCTGCGTCCAGGATCGCTTACTGGAGCCAGGAGAGCTGCGTGGCGCTGCTGTGTGACTGGTGGGTGAGCTCACGTGCTGCCTGCTTTGCTTCGGGGTCTTGCACACCGGCGCTGAGGGAGGGGATCCGCAGGCCTTTCCACTGGCCCCCGTGGGCTCTCCTACACTGGGAGCTTCAGGTGGTCTTGTTCATACAACCTGTCCCCGCAGTGAATTTCACTCTGTGAGGATTGCTGTTGCATGATGGGTGTGGGTTCCCTTTCTTTAGGGTGGCGCCCTTTTGCTGTTTAAATTCACTAGCTTCCAGCTCATCATTTGTGTGTGATAAAATCCCATGTGAGGGCCAAGGAAAAGTTGCAGAGTCCACTTCAGTCAGCCTCACCCGAGGGCCAGACCCGATAGAGCCCTCACACCCGACCCAAGGCAGGTCACAGTATGACCCGCCCGAGGGCCCGTGGTGCTGAGGAGGAGGATTTCAGGGCCACATGCCATCCAGTGGGCTCTTGAGTGTTTTTTATGTGCCAGGTGGGTCCTGGTGTTTCTGCACATGTCATGTGTCCTTATAACAAGCCTGCAGAGAGCATCTTGGTTTGTTTTAAAACATGGATCAGGTTTAGCTTGGGTAAGAGTGCTGATGCGGAGGTGCCCGAGCCCAGTGCCCCGTGCTGTCTGCTGCTCTGCTCTGCAGGTGGATTAGCCATCTTCTCCACATGGTGTCCTTTGTCCTCTACTGGGCCCGTCATAGGACACACTTTCCTACAATTCAGGGACTTAGACTCATCATCTCTCTGTTCCTGTGGTTCTCAGGTTGGGAGGAGGCTCAGCTGGGTGCTTCTGGACGAGTCTCTCATGAGCTCACAGGGTGTTGGCAGTGGCTGGGTCTTCTGTTTGGGGCTGATGTGGGTACAGTATGTTATGCGGTGATACCCTCCTGGGCCTGTGGTAGTTGTAATAATTTTTCTCTCTTTCTTTGTGGAAAGTATTCCTGTGGTCTACATCTTCCAGCTCGATGCCTCCAGACAGCAGCTGGTTTACAAACAGCAGCTGGATTTTCAGCACAGAGTGTGGGACATTGCTTTCGAGGAGAGCCAGGGACTGTGGGTCCTGCAAGACTACCGGGAAGCCCCCCTTGTGCTCTGCAGGCCTGTGGGGGGCCAGTGGCAGGTGAGACGTGCTGGGCCCCTGCCGCCCCTAAACCTGTGGTGGGGGTGGCAGGGGATGACAGCTGTGCTCACTTAAAGCTTGATTATGTCTTGGTGATGCGGGCTGCATCCTTGGTGTGTGTGTGGGGGGAGCTGGAGGACATGTGACGTGGGTTTGGGAGCCAGGGTGCCCAGCCAGCTCATCTAATGTCATAACGCCTGCAGTGTTTTTTGCAGGGTAGTCTCCTTCATTGGCATATTTTTCTTGTGATTGTCTTGGTCACACATCTTTTTAGCAGAGAAACCAACAGCTGGTGTGGCTTGGCTGTGTGTCCTTGATGTTGGCAGGCTTCGCACGGCCTTGTATCTGGGGCACTGGAATTGGGTGGAGAAAGGTGCGTGGGCTGCGGGCTGAGCGAGCCCCTCCTCACTGGGTGACGTGCGAACCTTACACCTTTTCTGAGCCAGCTCCATCTGTAAAGTGGGGCTGTCTCCTGCCTGTCCTGAATCTCCTAGGACACTGGGGGAAAGAATCAGACAAAGCACGCCAGCTCTCTGTGCAGATTGGCTCATCCTTTATAAGTGCTTACTTGACCGAGGGCTTTGGAGATGTCCCTGAACCTTTTGGGTATTTTAGTCTAAAAAAATAGTGACAAGCAGGATGCTACTAGCTGGTAATGTGTCGTGTCTGCTAGGCTCCTTGGACAAGGTCACATGTGACAAGCCAAGGCATAGAATGCTGGCAGCCCGCACGTCACAGGTCATTCTCCTGACATAAGGTGGTGACTGCTGTGTGCCAAGGCAGGACAGCTTTGCCTGAAGTTCACGGGTGGGGTGAGCAGGTGTCTCCTAGCCCAGCAGCCTGGACCAGACCTGGCAGGTCTGTCTGTGCCTTTCCTGGCAGCTCTGGAGCTTCACTCCTGCCTCTTTCCAGTAAGTGTTTTCCGTTGTCTTCTCAGGCTGTTCCTGAAAATGCCACTTTAAAGAAGGTCTCCGCCCATGTTCAGGAGAATTGGGCCATGTTGGAAGGTGAGAATGTGACTTTGGCCTGCTTTGCAGGATGATGTCGAGCACTGGCCACGGACAAGGCCACGTTGTAGAATACTGTATATAGTAGGAAGCCACTTTTGTGGGCGAGAGTCCAGGATGTGTGGCATGTGCCCATGTCCCCATCCAGAGGGCCTGCGACTGGTCGGGGCGGTAAGGAGCTGACACACACTTGGGCCGTCTGTGTCAGGACAGTTGAGCTGCGTGGGAACCGGGTCAGAGTTGGAGTGCTGTCTACCTCTCTGCCTTCAGGGCTGTGCCTCACTGTGTCCCTGGATGGGGCCAGCAGCTGGTGGGCTTTCAGACGGAGTGGCAGGGTGAGTCACAGACTCCGAATTGTTGGCTCTGAGTGACCACAGCTGCATGTGGTTCCTGACCACAAGGTTAGGCATGGGGACAGTCAGTGACATGCCCAAGGGTCTCCATGGCCCAGGGCGGGTCCCAGCAGGAACAGCCAGACAGAGGGAAGAGGAGAGGCATTGGTGAGATGGGGGGCACCCCTTTTCATGGTGCTAGTCTGTGAGGAGTGTTCAGGCTTTCGGAGCCACGTCAGAGGGCCCACGGTGAGCTTTGGGTGCCACCCTCAGTCCTGTTCAAGAACGTTAGGATGACAAGATCTCGCTCTATTTCTATTGGTAGAGGAAGGCAATCCCTTAGTTACACAGCCTCTGGCGACCCTGTGATGCTTTTCTCAGGCAGAGACTTAAAGCAACTGTCAGATGACTGGTAACTCAGCATTGGGAGTCAGACGCCTTCATTTGAGTAAAGAAATTACTGCCCAGAAGACATCTTTCAAAGTATTCCCCAGAGAGAAGTCCAAGTTCCTTGGAACTCGAGAGATTCAACCATAAATTCAATTTCTGTTGACAACTAGCAGTGATCTAAACGTCTCCTGGAAGGCAGTCTCGTGATGATTTGTTGGTTCTGGGTCCCGGGGTTAATTTCCATCCTTTTAGGGTGACAGGCCTTCGTTCTCCCTAGCGCTGTGTGGATTTGCTTTAGCAACAGTGTCAGACTGATGTGTAGCAGGACTGTGTTGGGGTTGCTAATGAGCCTGCTCCCTGCCTGGCACGTGCCATCCCCCCATCTGGGGCCTGGGGCCAGCGGCCAGCATGTCCTGCTTGTGGGACAAGGCGGGCTTAGCTTCTCTGAGCTTCTGTAGATGAAACAACCTATTCACGGTGCAGGGGTGAGGGAAGGTGCAGGGGGAGAGCACGGGGAAGGCAGGCCAGCTGAGCCTGAAAGTCACAGAAGGGGTAGGGAAGCCTGAGTGAGTGGGAGGTCACCGTGCAGGGCACAGCCGCACACAGGAGTTTCTGGCCAGGATGAGGTGGACCCCGTGTGACTGGTCTGTGGACATCATGTCCCTCAGCCCTTGACACTTAGGTCAACCTGCATCTGTTACCTGGCTGTAACAAATAGCCCGCACTTGGTGAAAACACCACTTTTTATCTCGCTGTTTGTGTGGGTCCTAGTGCAGTCCCTAGAGGACTGGTTCCCTGAGGGTGCGATATGATTCCAGGCGCATGGAGTGGTTGGCATCGACCTGGTCCCTTAGGCTGCTGGGCCACGGGCCTGACTCCCTCACTGGCTCTTGGCTGGAGGCCGCCCTTAGTCCCCAGCACAGGGGCCCCCGTGGGGTGGTTCACAGCATGATGGCAGCTCCACCAGTACGAGTGCGCAAGCCACAGCCCTTGTGCCTCATCTCCCAGCCATGACCAGGCTTTGTTCGGTTAGAAGCCATCTTAGGTCCAGGTGGCGTGGCCACCAGGAGATGGGCATCGTGTGGGTGCCTTGGATCAGGTGCTGCAAGTCCACTGCAAGTCCCTGGTTAATCCCCCCTGCAGCAGGGTTTCACGGGCACACTGGTTCCCATCCCACCTGGTTCTGTTCTTGTTGCTCCCTTGCAGGCATGGGTGGCGTGGATGTTGGCTTCAGTGGTCTCTACAAGGCCACCTTTGACAACGTGACCGCCTACCTGAGGAAGAAGGAGGAGAGGCTGCAGAAGCGGCGACAGAACCCACCCCCTGGGCCTAACGGGCAGGCCAAGAAGATGAAGCCGGGGGAGGCATCCGTGAGGTGCCCGTCCTAGCCACGCCAGCTGTGCCCTCTCCCTGCTGGCGGCTCCCTTGAAGAAGCAAAAAGGGGGATGTTGTTCCCAACCCATGCTTGGTGGCAGTCAGGTCCGCACCAGCTCATCATACGCTGGGCCGTCCCAGAGAACGGGTTGGTGTCCTGGGCTCTAGAACTTCTGCCGCTGAGCAGAGGCTCCTCTGCCTGGCACCTTGGGCACCCCCTGGCTGAAGGGAAGCTGTGCCACGTGTGACTCAAATAGAGATACTACAAGTGAGTAGTGCAAGTGCCTCGAAGCACTTTTTCTTCATATTGGAGGAAATCGGAACCTGCAGCACGGCGGCTGTGGGTTTTGCACTGTTCCCCTAACGCTGGATGCATTTTCCTCCCCGGAGAGACCCACACACCAAACGTGTTTATGGCAGTGCGATAGACCCGTTTTGTCCCCACGTCTCCCTCTACGTGGTGTACTGCACCGTCCAGCATGGGGGGCCACTGGCCACGTGGGTGCTGCTTGGGGCTGGGTCCCTGCGTGGCGAGCTGTGTCCACTCAGGAAATGCAGCTGCCGCCACCACGATGCAACCTTAGTGGGGATGCAGGGCGCAGACCGGGCAGATTTCGGGGTATATGAGGACCCAGGAGCCCCGGCTGGAACTGAGTTCTCCAGGGAGATGGTTGAGGCCGTCATGTATGTTTGCAATTTCCACGTGAGCTCTGTGCACACGAGGCAGAGACGGGCTGTCGGCTGAATTCTAATCACTGATCAATAAAGATGAGCTTTTTGCAGCTTTGGGAAATGTGTAGCGGCAACATTTGGAACTGATTCAGAATATATGGAGCAAAACCATTTTTGACGAGTGTACTGTTTATGACGGAAACGTTGACTTTCTGGGATGAAAGAGTTTTTTGGTGGTTGGGCTTTATAGATGCGTCTGCTGATTTGTTTATCCATGTTTTTACCCGCTCTCCAGTGATCAGTCTCAAACATGGGAAAACTCGTGTATGTCCGTGATGAATTCGGAGCGGGCTTTCTTGGGGTATGTAGAACAGATTATTTCGTGTGTCAGGAGCTGGAAAGCTCCAGCTTTTCCCTGAGTGCCTTGTTTTATTTTACACACTGATCTGAAAGTACTGCTGTGTGTGGACTGCTCGGGGTCCCTCCCCACGGGGGGACTGCTGGGTAGAGCTCCAGGAGCAGAGGGGGCGTGCCTGGGACAGGATGGGGGTGCTGGGGTCTGCCTCTAGGGACCTCGTTAGCTCTGTTCTCATTGACAACCTGCCTTGAGATTCTTGGTTTAGGAGAAATTTAGGTTTGGCCTTTCCAGTGTCTTGTGAAGTGGTCTGCAGGCCAAGTCCTGTCGCTGCTTGATTTTATATGGCCTGTGAGCTAGGAATGGCTTCTATGTTTTTAAATGGTTGAAAACAAATCAAAAGATATTATTTTATGTCGTATTAAAATATATGTGGTTCAAATTCCAGCATCCTTAAATAAAATTTTACTGGGACACAGCTGTGCCTGTTGGTTTAGGTACGGTTTCCGTCTGTGCTCCAGCAGCAGACTGGGCCAGTTGCCACAGAGACCAAATGGCCAGCAGAGTCCAAGGTATTTACGACACAGCTCTGATGGAGAAGTTTGTCGATCTTTCTTTAAAATTCATTTTAAGTCTGCATACTTTTAAAATGAACTGGTTAATTTCTTTAAAGACAGAACAAAATCATCGTCTTCTATGAAAGACAAGACCTTTTCTTGCCACTCACTGTGTGCCTTGTGGGTAGGTGTCTTTGAAACAGGGTCAGGTCGGGGAGGGACCCTGGGGTGGCTGGGTGGGAGCTGGGGGGTGTGTAAGGTGGGTCCTCTTGTGCCTGAGGGGGAGACTCAGACGTGCCTGCCATACGAGGCAGATCTTGAGCAGCGGGTCAGGATCAGAACGGAGCTGGAGGGGGGCCATGGCCATCACTGTCTTTCCCGTGGTGGTTTCAGATGTCTGTCATTCCGGGGCACCTGGGTGGCTCAGGTGAAGTGCCTGCCTTCAGCTCAGGTCATGATCCAGAGTCCTGGGGTGGATGGAGCCCCAGGTCGGGCTCCCTGCTCAGCGGGGAGTCTGTTCCTTCTGCTGCTCCCCTTGCTTGTGCTCTCCTTTCTCTATTAAAAGTAAAATCTTAAAAAAAAAATCACTTTCATTCTTGTCACAGTCATGTGCGCGCATGACTGAGACCAAGTGCTCCTGGCCCCTGATTGTGGCAGGGACCCTCTGGGCACCCTTCTCCCCCATCCCGCACTCCTGCCAGCTGCTGCTTTCCTCTGCTTTCTTGCTGCAGTCTGGGTGCTCAGAGAGCTGAGAGCCGCCTGCTGCCAACAGCCGACAGCCGTGAGGATGCCGTCGGGTGGGTCGTGCTCTGTCAGCCCTGCGGCTGCCTTTGTCTCCTGGCCCGCCCCGGCACACAGGGACTCCGGCTCCCGCAGCAGGCAGAGGTGGGGTGTTGGTGGGGGTGGGAGGAGGGAGGGCAGCACCCTTCTGCTGCAGCAGGCCTTCCTGAAGGGCTGCAGCCCTTTGGGGCAGAAGTGGCCTCCTTGTCCCGAAACCATGTCCTTGCCACTGGAGTTGGTCTCTCAGACGGTGAGGGCTGTATTCTTGGGGACCCTGACTGGTAACTAGTCCGTGCCCCGAGGCCCCCAGCTGCCCCAGACGTTTGAACTCTGCCCCATGGTGACCATGGCTGTTTGGAGGCGTCCGGTCTCGTGCCCGCTCCTCCTTTGGCTGACCTGCTGCGACTGCGGGTCCACCGCCAGCTGGCTCCCAAGGCGGAGCCCGTGTTTGTAGTTTGGTTTGCTGAGCTGCTAGGGGAGCCCAGGGTTTAGCTTCCTTGTACACCTCTTTTATTTCATTCATCTCCTATTTTGTTTTTTCTAGTTTTATGTGTTTTAGGTTTTGGTGTTTTTTTTTTTTTTTTAAAGGTTTTAATTATTTATTCATGAGAGAGACAGAGAGAGGTACAGACACAGGCAGAGGGAGAAGCAGGCTCTATGTGGGGACTCCAAGATCACACCCCAGGCCGAAGGCGGCACTAAACCACTGAGCCACCTGGGCTGCCCGATTTTAAAATATTTTTAAGTGATCTCTATGCCCAACGTAGTGCTTGAACCAACTCAAGAGAGAGTTGCACGCTCTATTGAGCCAGCCAGGCGCCCCCAGCTCATTTACTGATTTACAAAATCTGGTTGTTGTGGGGCCCCTGGGTGGCTCGCTCAGTCAGTTAAGTGTCTGACTCTGGATTTTGGTTCAGGTCTTTTTTTTTTTTTTTTTAATTATTTATTTATTTATGATAGTCACACACACAGAGAGAGAGAGCGGCAGAGACACAGGCAGAGGGAGAAGCAGGCTCCAGGCACCGGGAGCCCTACGTGGGATTCGATCCCGGGTCTCCAGGATCGCGCCCTGGGCCAAAGGCAGGCGCCAAACTGCTGCGCCACCCAGGGATCCCTGGTTCAGGTCTTGATCTCAGGGTTGTGAGATTGAGCCCCACGTCCAGCTCTGTGCTCAGTGGAGAGCCTGCTTGGGATCCCGTCTCTCCCTCTGCCCCTCCAACCACACGTGCACACATGTGTGAACACTCGTCCACCCTCTCTTTCCCTCCCTCCCTCCTCTAAAATAAATGAAATCCTTTGAAGAAAATCCGGTTATTCTTATTTCTTAATTCTCAGCACTTTCTTGGTCTGTGTGCGTTTTGATTCAAGTACAGCTGGAAGGTGCGTGTACTCCGTCACCAGCTGAATGCACACATGTGATGAGCCCACCAGAGAGCTGAGAGCCCCACCCACCCCCAGCCCCCCTGGGGCCAGCAGACAGCTTTCCTTTTGTTGGCTTCAGGCCACTTTGGCTCAACCCTTCTGGCTTAGGATTGGAGATGGTTCACTCTCATTGCTACATAGCATCCTGCAGCAGCATATCCGTTCTGTCAGTGGGCTTTTGGATGATTTCCAAAGTTTGGCTGCATGAACATTCTGGTCCTTTCTTTGGGAACATATGTAAACATTTCTGTTAGGTATACACTCAGAACTGCTGGCTCATAGTTCTGCATATGTTTCACTTAGACGGTCCTGCCTGGCCTGTTAATTCAACACCTCCCCCCCCCCCCCGCCCCACTGCAGGCTGTAAAAATTTGGGGCCTGTCAACCCTCAGCATCTGGACTGTGACGGGGTTCAATCTTGCAGAGGCATAAACTTGGAAGTTAATAGCCTGGGGTGTGGGAGCCGGTGATGCTGCCCATCTCGTGTCCAGACTTAAAATTGTTCTTGTTCTCAGCAAGGGCGCCTTAAAGAAACCCTTGGATCATCCACTCTGGGGGCTGCCAGCCACAAGGTGGGGAGGACGCCCGAGCAGCCTGTGAAGGGGTTGACGTGACCAGGAGCCCAGGCCTCCTGCCAGTAGCCAGCATCGGCTGGCCGGCCTGAAGCAAGCTGTTCTGGAGGCGCCACTCTGACACGGATGGAGAGCGATGTCCAATTTCCTATGGCACTGTTGACTGAATCCTAATTTCCCTTGTGATTTCTTTGATCTCTGGGTTATTTGGAAATATGGTTTAGTATTCAAACATTGGATTTTTTTTTTTCAGATTTGTTTTGTTATGTTATGGAATTCTTGTTTTAATTCCATTGCGGTCTCAGCATACTTGATTCCATTCCTTTTATTTATTTTATTATTTGTGTATTTTTTTCTAGCTGAAAGGCCTCACATTTATTACTGAACCCAACCTACTGGTGTAGAGGCATAGTAACAGAAAAAAAAAAAAAAACCTTTTCCATGGTTAGATGTGTCTGTCCTTTGGCCAGGTAGGGGAGATGTTTACAGTGTAATAAGATGGGAGCATGGGATCTCCATGCAGCTTAAATGTCTTGACCACTGAGTCCTTTCCCACCTCATTGCTTTTCTTAGATGTGTACATTTAGTATTTAAAGTGGACTTGTTGGGGCACCTGGGTGGTTCACTCGGTGAAGTATCTGCCTTCAGTTCAGGTCATGATCTCAGGGTCCTGGAATGGATCCCCACATCGGGCTCCCTGCTCAATGGGGAGTCTGCTTCTCCCTTTTCCTCTGTGTGCTCTTGCTCTCTAATAAATCTTAAGGGTCTTTTTTTTTTTTTTTTTTTTCAGACAACATATTTTAATTTCCAAAATACTGGATTTCAGTGCAGACACCACCTGAGCCACATAAGTAATTCAGAAATTTCCAGTAGTAGGCAGCTGGGGTGGCTCAGTGGTTTAGCGTCGCCTTCAGCCCAGGGTGTGTGATCCTGGAGACCTGGGATCCTGCTTCTCCCTCTGCCTGTGTCTCTGACTCTCTCTGTGTCTCTCATGAATAAATAAATCCAGTCTTTAAATTTTTTTTTTCCAGTAGTCATCTTGAAAAGTTTCTAAAAAGGTGAAATTAATTTTGAGAACACAGTTTATTTCACTGAATACAGCCAAAATATTTCAACGTGGGCTCTGTACAATTACTCAAACTTTTATTTTCTATTTTTAATTCTAATTGTTGGAAATCTGGTCTGTATTTCATCTCTAGCACCCCTCCAGTTTTGATTAGCTAGTTGTTGGTGCTCGGTGGCCCTGCATGGCCAGTGGTGTTCCGAGGGGACGTAGGCCGTTTAAGTGCAGTTAACTTGTGGCGTGTACTGTCATCTTGTCACTTGTTTCTTCCTTGTCCTATACATTTTGCTCCCTTCCCCTTATTTCCCAGCTTCCTTATGAATTGAATAGTTCTTTAATATCTCATTTTATTCTACTTTTAGGTTTATTAAATACAGGTTTTTTTTTCATTTTTAATATTTATTTATTTATTTATTTATTTA